GGAGTTAAAGAAAATGAACTCAACAGTCAAATAAATGCATCAAAACATAAAGAAGAAGACTTTCGTTTCTGAGAATGTAGTAATATGAATTAAAAGATGAGGTTAAAATAAAGATGATATTTCAAAGGTTAAAAGAAGTTAAGAGCAGTTACATTTTCACAGGACTTGCTGAAATGCACACAAAAAAAGATACTTAAAAATAAATTATGAATTTACAAAACAAGAACCATTTATGGACAGCTGTGAACAAAGGCTCAGGAGAACAAAGAAGGTAAGTCAAAAAGCTGTTGGAGGTCGTCCTTTACCAGACAGAAGGGAACACAAATCAGAATGAAGATCATCTATCTTCTGCATAAGAATATCATCATGTTATGCAGAACACCAAAACATCGCCATACTACGCAGAAGCTGAGGTGTTAAGAAAGTAAACATATGTTGAAAGATGCATCAAAAAATGCCAAGAAATGGTAATTATTTTTTTTTGTAGGCAACCGATTCTCTGTTTTGCTGGCAAAATAGAAAAATGCAACAAACTGGGTTCCAGAGCGTCTGTCTGATCTCTTATGTTTTCATTGTAATGGAGAGTAAATGCCTATTTCCAAGACAAACTCCAACTCTTTTCCATGGGATAGTGGTGGCGACTTACTAAAATAATACACACTCCAACCAAAATGGGGGGGACAGGGTAGAGAGGACATTTGCAAGCTTTGTGAGGCAAAATGCTGACTGAGAAAGCTTGTTATTGCAACTGCATTAGACACAGAGCATCAGCTTCTGTAAGTCAACATAGTTTAATTGATGCTGAAATAGTGGACTTGGTAGGGCTTGGTTAATGGTTGGACTCGATGATCTTAAAGGTCTTCTCCAACCTAAATAACTCTATGGTTCTAAAAAGAAAAAATAAAAAATTCACTGGCAGGATCAGTTAGCTGCTGTGGCACATTAGAGTTCCTGCTGTAGGAAGCAATCCAGATGTTTTAACTGAGTCCAAGAGGTATGAACTGTCTCTAAAGGCAGCAACATCAGCAGGAAAGAAAACCAGGAGTAGAGATTTCAGTACAGTAGTCCAGGCCAGGAGGAACAACCCAGGGAGAGTCAGGAGCAAGACCTGTACCTCAGTTTGCCACAGCACATCTTGCAGCTTGGCAAGCGCCTCATGGCATACACCTATAAATCAACTTTTAGCTCCAACCAAATACAAGACTGCAGCAGTAGCTTCCAACAGAAACATAATTATATGTGGGGCCACATACTGAAGAATTATTGCTTGCCTTCTGTTTTGGAAAAACTGAGTAAGATGTCTTCTAATCCAGAGAGGAGATGAGGCTGTGCCTACTAAATAGGGACTTATTAACCAATTACCTTTTTTCTCCTGATGTTGAACTATAATATTGTACACACTGTATTAATCTATGCTTAGAAATAAATGGTAGATATGCAGACTTCTTAGTTACCAAAGATGTATACAATTGTGTGTCTGGAGCTATCACACTTAAGAGAATCTATGGATTAAGTTTAATACTTTCTGTCAATTTCCCTGCCAGCTGATAAAAATGTTGCAGGTACCTAACCACATTTATGTCACCAGGATACTTGCTATAACATACTCAGGGATACGTATTTTAGAAACAACATCTCAGCCTCACACACATATTCTTTGAAGAGTTTAAAACCTGATGTTATTTCTAAGACTTGTGCCTCCACACATGAATTACAAAATTTTGAAATCATTATGTGTGAATACTTACATACCACTAAAAACGCTAAATCTAATACTTTAGGAAGCAGTGTTTTTTGTTTGCTTAAACATACTGTCCCAAGACTCTAAAACCTGCCAGTTTCTTTATAAATTCCACATACTTACAATAGTCTGCTTAGTCTTTATTTAAAACAGAAGTGACAGCAAATAGCCTATCTGAAACCACAAAGAAAGGCAATGTCAAACACAACACCCAAAGGGACAGCAATATGGGTGTCCATCAAAGTAATTTGTATTTTATTCTATTTAAGATACTTGATCTCAAAGTAAGCCTGAGGGAACAAGCATTGTCTTTAGCTTGTAAATACAGAGAAAATTCAGAAATATAATTAGGCTGAAGATGCCCTATAGAAAGCAAAACGTATGTAAATAATGGCTTTGCTTCATTCCTATAAAATACTGTTTTACAGGAATTACTGTGTAATTTGGAAAAAGAAAGATGTATGATTTAATGGTTTTATATTCATAATAGCTGGCAACAAGACAGAAAGGAATATCTATCAGTAGGCAACACTTTCCTTGAGAACAAATTCAAAAGGCAGGGGGCCTTTTGTCATATTGGGAGAGCATCAACAGCTTAATCCCACAGGTTAGCCCCAGAAAGCCAAGACTAATTTATTGCTACTGCAATATAATTGCTCAACTGGATGTTCTATAAAACAGATTTAGGGATCACACAACCAGTGATTCTGAACACTGTCTAAAAGTCTGACTAAATGTGAAGCTCCTGAAGGACCTCTAGCAAGAAGGGTCTGGCAGGGAGAGAAGGCTAATTAACATGGATCAGCTCAACCCTTAAAAATCAGATGTAACTCCAGACAGACAACTGTTCAGAAGCTAAAAATCAGCAGCAAAGTCTCAGAACCAATTACATAAGTTGATAAACTTGAGTTCAGCGCAGCAAAGCATTAAGATATCACATTAGTAACCATCTTCTCCTAAGAAGAGGGGAGCTCAAGTTTTTAGTTTTGCATGCTGGTGAAGGTCTGGGCATTGTTAGCATGTATGGCTGGGTTACCTTCTCTCTACAGTTCCTGTCCTCCCAGCTGAGCAAATCACTCCTTTTGACTAAACAGGTATTTTTCTCTTATAGTTTTGACAGAGGTACTGCACTGAAAACCCCATGGAGGCTGATTCAGCTTTAAAGTGCTAAGAGCTCAAATCATTCTGCTTGGGTTTAATAATTATTGCACGAATTAAGGCTAGCCCTTGCTGCTGGCCTGGCAAGGAAGTCTACTAAAAATATATAAACAATTTTCATTATTACTATTTAACAGGAAAAAGAAAAATTAATTGTCCAATGGGATTACTTATGGTAGGAGGGTAGTTTCATCTGCTCCAACTTCCCAATGTTTTTCCCTTTTTTCCCAGTTTCTTTTTTATTAATAATCCATCTGAACTTCAAAAATCCTGAGCTAACAGTACATCAGGACTCTCCAGTCAAAGAAATACTTCTAATGGGCCCATGAGCTTTGGAAATGTTGCTGAACACCTTTGTTAGATGGTAAAGATAAGCCACAGGAATACATACAGCAAAATTTGAAGGAATAATGCTGCTGCTCCTCTTTTAAAAGACAGGTATCTCAGGATTTAGAGGAATGACGCATTAGTCAGCCTTATTATCCACGCATGTTGATTATCCTCAAAGACAAGCTCACTGAGCCCTTATGCGACCAAGAAAAAGTAGTTATGTGAATTACTATGTCTTCTCAGTGGGGAACAATTACAGCTACAGTAACTACTGTGTATTAGATCTCGAGCTATACAGCACTGCAGCCTCGGAGTAGGTCTTACGAATCTGACGCAGCGCGAGGAACTATCAAAGCTACTGTTAACTTATCCCAAACCTCATGAGCCGAATGTAAAAGTATCCACACAGGGAAATAAAACACAAACCCACTGTTTTAACAAGCACATTCAGCACATGAAACTCTGCTCATGAAACTGAGCAGTGAAGAAAGCTCAAGAGTTTTAGTGGTTGAAAAGCAGGTCCACCTTACCCACTTCCGAAGTGCCACAGTGACAGAGGCACTGTACAGCAGGCACTGGGAGAAAACTCATAGGCCTTCTCCTTCCATGGAACAAAACATGTCAGTTACAGCCATACATTACAAGGATGCTATCCAGCAGCACACACATCACATATTTTCAAAAAGATTTTTTACTTTTAGTTTGGCCAAATATATAAAGTAAGGAATAACGTTGTTTATTTTAAAATGGTAACCATTCTCATCTAATTTCATATACTTTAGATGCCACTTTTCAGTGAAAAAACACAGAATATTAATCAGTCTACATTACAAAATTAGTTGATGTGCAACAATGATCAGCTACTGAAAAAAAAATACGGTCTTTTGGGTTTTTCCAAACATTTTGTTAAATCAAACTGGCCTTCTGGGTTTTCCAGGAAAGACTGATTTTTTCCCACAAACTTTTCAATTTCAAGAAAATAAATACTAGAATAAATTTGTCAGTATGACAAGTGAAAATTTTAACACCTTCAAAGTAGAACAATGGGACTGATGTCAAAGTGCAAGACAAGTGTAACAAATACCACTGGGGTGATCTGTACACACACGACACATTTTGCATGTCTGATTGGCTCCCACTTGATGCTAAAATCATTTGGCTGACTTCCCAGAAAGTAACTGGATCAATCTATCTTTCCATTAAATCCTGCTAATAAACTCTCTCCTTCCTGCATGTTGATTCTTGCTGTCTACCTCAGAAGGAAATTTTTTCTTTAGAAGTGAGATCAGCTATAAAAATGCTTCATCAAAATTAAGTGAGCAAAAAGATTAGGGAAGATTTTGTATGCCCATACAAAAAGGAGTACTTTCACAGCTAATACAATTCATTACAAGTCCCTCAAACTCAGTAAATCTACAATGACTTACCTCATTGAAGAGCTAGTACTGACAGCCTAAAGCATGTTTACTTAAGGGTTCTGGGGAAGTATTGTCTTAAAAACAAATGTTTGAATGGAGGGGCTATCAACACTGTAACAGTATTTACTCTCACATTCTGTCTCTGCATCAGTTTTACAGACTTCACAAGTTCTTCTGTGGGAATGTTCACGTACTCTACTTTTCAATTATTTGTAAAGAAAAAAATTAATGTGGTTCCTATCCTAATCATTTTCCCTTTAGCTAATAATCAGTTTCTATGAAATAACATGACATCTAACACCAAGTTACTGTTACTGCATTTGCCTTGAATGTGTGCTGTTTTTGACTCTTACCTTCACATTTTCTGGATGAAGCCCTCCAGGGTGTTTGTCCATGTACTGACATAAATCAGTGTGCTAAAAGAAAGCCAGATGGAAAAAAAGGGTATTAATATCTGTATGACTGCAGCAATAAATATCCTTCTACTTAGGTGTGGACAGAACGAATGGAAAATAAGATTTTTCAGCCACACGTGCACAATCCCAATTGCACTATACACTCCACTTTGCTTAACAGCCTTGGTAATTTGACTGATACAAATGTTCACCAAAAGTACATTAGTGTTTTTTCCTAACATCCTGCATATGGTAAATTAATCACTTGAATTTTAGGATTATTTTGTACCTTGTAAGGACAGTATCACCCTAACAGCATAAAGGTAATATCTGGAGGGAAAACTGAAAGGGAGAACCTCAAATGCTGTTCTCATTATTCACAATAAACCACTGCATTTTAAATATATTTTTATAGTTATTCTAGATTTAGATGGCTTAATGGTCTAGAAAATAAATCTGAAAGGCATTGCATATCACGAGTACTGAATCATACTTCCCAGCTCAGAAAGAAGCATGTATAATGCACATGTATAGCTATTAATTACAGATCATTTAGAAAACAGCTTCAAAGAAGACTTAAATCTGTAAATTTTCAGTTCATGATTGCCTATATTCCCTGCAAACATACCACAGATCTCTTCAGAAAATAAGCAGGCTTGCAATGTACATATTAATGTTATTTTTAATTAAGTATTTATTGCTTTTACTGGGGAAACACTTATTTTCTCTGGATTTTCTCTTGCATTTCTTCATTTTCCTACTAGTCAGCAGCATGCTTTCAGCAAAGTGGCATGCTGCTTCTCTGATTTGCTTGCACAACTCAGCTTCTGGAATTATGTTCAGAATAAGCAAAGAAAAATATGTACTAGATTAACCACCAAAAACTCAGAGACTGACTCTGCCTTCCTACACCTGGTTTCTGAACACATCTGGTAAAAATCATCCAGCATTCCTTCAAAAGCTACTTGGCAATACCTGCCTCACACATACAGAACAGCTGAACTAAAAATATAGGCAGTTGTCAAGGTGCGAGTTTTGGACAAAAGCTAACTTAGACATAGCGGAATGATTTCTCTGTGCAACATTTCCCAGTCCAGGAGCCATTCCCTAATGCTCTTTTGCAGAATTACATGGATATATAGGAAAGTCCATGTCTCCTAAGACACAAAATTTGTGCTGGCTACAACTCTCCTGTACAAACTTGCTTTCTGAAGTCACAAACTACAAAACCAGACTGTGCATGTACACCTGACACTGCAATGACACAAGATGAACTGGTTGATTAGGTTGTGCACCAGCACAGGGTTTTTTTCAGGAATTCTTACATGGCTCTAAGAGATCAAGTGCCCTGAATGCAGGAAATCACTTCAGTCACTGAAAGCAGCATGAGCACCAGAAGGGCAGAGAGCAAGCTCAAACAGGCAAACCACACTAAATACAACACAACAGAGCTTCTACCAAAACACAAGCTACAGCAAGCAAGCAATACTTCAATTTACAGTTAACACATTAGTGAATGCATTCTGAGAAAATGAGGAAATACACTTCTACCACTGAACAGCTGCTGTCAGTGAATTGTGTTTTGCATAAGGTCTGTGTTTAAACTGAAGACTTATTCCTACTTTCTGCAAAATCTTCAGCCACTTCAGGTACATATTCCTCTTCTATTCTCTGAGTAAGTTTTCTGGGACTATCAATAAACCATGCCAAAAAATGGACCAGTCATCCTTCAGTATGCATCACTGCATTACCTAATTTTGTCTTTTACTTTATCTACATCAAGGAAACAGACTTACACAAAGTCATCTGCTAACCTTGCCATTTCTTTGGAAAAACTAACAGACTTTGAGTACTAATCCCAGCACAAGAGTCTGCCTCCAGCAAAGTATCAGCTGAAATACCATTAATACAGGTAATGAATGGCTAGTGTCAAATAAGAAGTTCAGGGGATTTCCCCATTTTAATGGGTTTTCTATTACTGAAAAGAAGTGGCAGCCTGGCGGAATAACATATTCTCTTTTTTAACTTAAATACAAATCTTTGAATAGTGATAGCACCTGCAGTGCTTGGGAGAAGATTAAAGAAAAGCCTGAAATGTCACTTTAGAAAGCCCAGCAGAGTGAACAGGGCAGTGCTGCCCCATCCTCAGACGCACCCGTTGTGGCCCAAGCAACACACACTCCCTCACATGAGCTGGCTGAAGGAGGAGAATTATCATTTCCGCATAATTCACTCTTCCAGCCTTTGTTGGTGACAGATAACCTGGTAGTTGGGAAACTTCCTGCCTCCTGCATCTTCAACAGATTTCTGTGATTTGCAACTAGTCAGCAAACATAAGGACAGAGGAAGACAAACCCAGCGCTACTTCTGCAGGTCCCACCCCAGAAGCCCCAGCACCCCAGCTGCCTGCTAGCTGCACCTTTCTATTCACCGAAAGCTTTCTAAGAACATCCTCTTCAGAGTCACATCATCAGGACCAGCAGTAAGTCATCTTTTCATTTCTAATATAGTTTCAATGAATTGTGAGGATACGCCCATTTTCTTGCACTTCTATTTCAGTTATTATTTGGATGCATTTCCTCCATACATGAATATCAGCCATGATCGTATGTTATGCATCATTCACCTCTTCCTACCCCAAGGACCGGCATGACTGGTAGCTTGGTTTAACCTTCTGCATCAGTAGCTCCCTCCTTCAAAATCCAATTGCTAATATCTGCCTAAAATTCCATGTAAACAGCAATTTCTACAGAACCCTGGAAACCTTACAGAGTCAGTTGTGTAGCAGTCTTTTGACACCTAATTTTTCCCCACACAAATGCTACAGACACAAAGAAATCTCTACCAAATCTTCATTCAGACAGCAGAAATGGAAAGTTTTTTCTGTACAAATCTTTCAAGAATTTGCCCTCATAAAACTAAGTTAGAGGTTTTTTTTCATAAAAGCAACTGAACACCATGGTACCAACTGGGAAAGCAACTTACAAAGTTTCAATACATTGTTCCTCACTTAAAAAAAAAACAAAAACGTAGCAGTAAAGCAAAGGCAGACTCAGCTGCTCTTCTTTTCCCAAGGCAGGGACTCAACACACATTGAATTAAATATTAGTAAATCTGGGAAAGCTGGCAGCGCTGCAGGGACAGCTATTTCTAAACCTCTATTCCCTTCTAGCAGGCAAGTGCCAGCTCTAGTGCTTGTGTGCTCAACTGACAGTGAAGCACACAACATGAATGCAAGTTTCAGGAAAGCATTAAAAAAGAAAACAAGAGAGCAAGCCTGATGAAAGCAGTTTTCTAACAGTACTTCATGAAATTGGTACCATACAGATGAACAGAGTTTTTTTCTTCATGTTGCATTTTGAGGCAGCAGGCAACATGCTTTTCCAAGAGGAACAGCAGCTGCAGATACAGGATGACATACTCTGACATTAGGGTCCCTGCGGGGGATATCACCTTGATCTAATACATATCCTAAAGGAAAATTCAAGATACAATTACATATTGTGGTAACATGAAACTATGCTGAAACAACGTAGGAAGGCAACATGGAAACCAACCAACACACCTTTTACAGTACTTTCTCCGCTGTCTTAAGAGGGTGAGGACACCTCACAGGGAAGCAGGATACACTGGGAATGCAGTACAGAGACTCCCAAGCAATTGCAAAATACCTTTCACCAGTTCTTCTTCGAGCTAGCTTTTAGTAACTCTATCAGCCATACTGTTAATCCTCAACACACACAAATCACAAGTAATCTCATGCTGACAAAATATACGCTATTTTAGCTTAAGTTAAAAATCCCATTAAATCTTTATCTTAACAGTCCACCAGTTTACCCAGACCTATATGTAAAAATAATCTATTGTCACTCGTCTGTTCTTAACAGCTACACAAAAACAATAGAGATAAATCAAGTTACCACAGTGAACAACTCATAAAGTAGGAAAGTCCAGAATTAACGGGGTTTATCCAACCTTTTATTTGTTTGCTCAACAAACGTGTATTATGATAACTTTTTAATGTGATCCCATACATTTTTCCCCTCACAGGATTAGACATCCTCCCTGAACAGAGTAGGAGGTACTTGATTACAGAACAGCTGTGCTGCTATTCTGGGTCGTTCTGCTAGGCTTTTTTCCCCTCATTTTCACACAGCTTGCAGTCTCTGGCTTATTTACTACATTGAAGGCAGAAATATTAATCTCACAGGCTTTCCTGCCATGCCTATTGCTTCGCTATTCACATGCTTCACAAACATAAAATATTTTCATAGCAGTCCAGGGGATTATTCTCTTTATCAGGTAGGGAATTGAAGAAACAGAAAAAAGCCTCAAGTATCACTGATTTGGGCAACTCCATTTAAAACACTTTGGGTTTGACTTTTCAGAGTATTTGGCACTATTTTGCCTTCTGTGTTTTGCCAGACTTCAGTTACAGCTGTAAGTGTATAATGCTTTTGCAAGGGAGACTGAGAATCTCATGCTGAATAGCAGAACTTGGTCACATCTGAATTGTGATGACAGCAATTTGCAATGGTGATGAGAATTCCCAATATAGCAGGGATGGAACCCAGCTCTCTACAGCAGTACTACCTACCTTATCTTGAATCAATACTTTGAATGCAGCAAGAACCCCAAAACACGCCCTAGTTCCAACATCCAGAAAAAATTAAGAAGTTCAGCAACTACCCTGTGTCCTCAACACACAGTCCTCTGCAGAGCTGTGCAACAGGCTCTTCCACAAGGATGGCAAAACAAGACTGCATAGGCCATCTTTTGCCTTCATGTCCTCTAACTTTAAGAACTTGACTTCCATCTCACTAGCACAACGTTTTGTGCAAAATCTGTTATGCTTTAAGCAAACAATTCAATCTCTCCTACTACTAAAGCCTCCGCTAAAACAATTTCACTTCCTCCAGGGATGAAATCTTTCTACAATCTTTCACAAGTGGAAGACTACAGCCAAGTCTTTCAGGAAAGAGGGAATCTTCAAAGACACAGAACTTAAGTACAAATCCCAG